AGGTTATTTATTGGCACTTCATAATCATATGTCAGGCATTAGAGGTCTCATATTAATGTACAGAATCATATCAGATACGCATTTCTTTGATGAAGTACCTGTATTATTCTTTCTGTCACTTCTTGTATTTCACCCAAAGATTTTTCACCACTCCTCAGACAGCTCTGAACACCATTGGACCGTCACCTGAGTCAGGTTAGGGAGCAACATACATCACAAAAAGCACACCTAGAAGGAGGAAGAAGCCTGTGTATTGACATTTGCACTGCAAAAACATAAAGCTTTTAGCTTACAATATTCCACTAATTCTCCAACAAACTACCCACTATCTCATTGCTCCTGTTTCTTGCAAAGCAAATGCAAACAGTTAAATCAGATGTCCTCCATCAGACAGGCCCCCAAGCAAACACTATCCAAGCCCACACAGCGCAGGGCAGGGGCAGGTGTGGAGGAAGTGGTGGCAACATCTCTGGCTGGTACTGCCATCAGTGACTCCAGCATTTGAAACCATATTTTTATTCTGTATCTGGGTGGAGACTGCTGCTGTACTTGGTTATAGGAGGGGACTTAATTGTCCTTAAATTACATGAAATTAAAGATGGCAGTTATACCCTTCACCTTCAATGAGGTTTTAATTAGATCCATCCCACCAGCCAGTCCATCTGTGCATATCCATTTTGGCATATTACTAACGTGTTTAATGGAAATAAACAAAGCCATGTGTTTTATGTTAAAACAAAGAACACGACATCTTGGTCACATAGCAATTCATAATTTCAGTGGAATTTTATTTCAGCCCAGTATTATGTTATGGGTCATACACAAAATCACAAGACACTCGTTTGCTATGTGTCCAAGACATGTCCAGTACATCAGATGTCCTAGTATTAATTTAACCAGTAATTTATTCAGATACTATTAAAAAAATGTTTTGGGATGCTTCTGGTAGTGAAAGTGCATTTGAGACTCCTTTTCATATCTTTCACTTGTATTCATTTTAAGCAATTTATTACTACTATCATATAACATATAATTTATATTTATATATATATTTATACAAAGCAGCTGCACAACTTATGGTAAATGATTACATGTCTAAAAGTCATCTGTAGTTCAAAGATTTGTTACTGAGCACAAAGAACATGAGACACTTTGTTAAAAGCATAAGTATACTCAGCTGACTTAGCAAATAGCACACCACTGCTCAGAAATTTCTTGTAAAGTATAAGGTATGAAGCCAAAAAGGAAGCATAATGCAATACGTTCTTTAAAGTTATAATGAAACATATGAGAAAGAGAGCACAATGTAGTATGACTTACTCTGTAACTAGTCTAACCAGAAAAAAATAATTACAGTCAGTTCTCCATTAATACTGGGTGGATTATGAAATTTGGAAATAAATTAGGCTAAGGATGCACAACAGCTGCCTTGTTTCCAAACAGTCCAATTAAAGCTGGCAGGGCTTATTAACTGAGGCACAGCACCATCCAGGCTTGGCACTGCTGCTTCCAGCCCTGAGCTGCTGTTGGGCAGTTAGGGGGAAAGCACTTGGGCAAACCTGGAAGCATGGCATTGACACCTTCAGTCCTGCAGAAGGCACAGCTGCCACCTCACACCATGTCCTTCCTGTCCTGTCACAGGGCCAGGCTTGACTGGCTGGTTACCAAGGGATGTTCCTGGCCATCCTCAAACAGGAACAAGACTGTCCTGTGTAAAACCCCAATTTCAGGTTTGAAGATGCACCGGTTTCTGTGGACCTACAGCAATACTGGAAGATTTTATAGTATTTTGCCAAGAGATTTGTTTAGAAGACAAATCTTGAAATTCCAGATGAATTCAAACTTTCTTCTTTCCTTTAAAATTGATCACTCTCCCAGCTATGAGATTTTTTGGCTACTGTCAGGCTTTTGCTGGAAGGGAGCATCATCTTTTCTTAGAAGCAGGACAATTAGTTTATGTAATAAATTACTTCATACTCAACACTCAATTATTTATTGATTTTACTTGATGCTATGATCTCTTGCTAGTTTTATAAGCAGTATGGATCAGTTTAATTGCAGCCTTTCTGAGTTTGTTTCCCTAAAATCTGCACATTCTAGGAGCCATTTTTCTTAACATAATTGAGTCATCTGTAGGTTATGGAATACACACACACACTGCTTCCTGGCAGTGACCTCCAGCTCACTTCATGCTTCCATGGCAGGTCTTTGGAGTAGTCAGGTGACTGATTCTGGGTACTGTGCCTGCTGTTCTCTTTCCTTATGTTCAATGTTCCTAGAACGGCTGTAAGAGTGCTTTTCAGTCAGCATGACTTTTTGTAGTAGTGAGTATATTGCATTTAGTACTTGGATGTAGAACATGGAAACTCAGGAAACCCAGAAACTGTTTTCTTGTGTCAAAGAATGAGAGACCTCATCCCAAAGGACTGCGCATGGACAAGGTACCTAACTTATTTTTATAGTACTGCTAATGCTGCATAAATAAATTGTTTAAATGTTTGGTGGTAGTGCTGTGGGTTATTTTAATTCTTTTAGAAAAACATTATTTGGAGTTACCAAAACTGAAGAATAATTCTTGAGACCCAATAAAACCAAGTGACTGAGAAATTATTTTCAATTACTAATAGGCAACTTTTTAAAATTTAAAAACACCTGGACTGACTTGGTAAAGTTCAATACAAACATTTTGTTCACTATAAATAAGCAATTTGCCAAGTTTATAGCTGTGTAGGAAATGATGCAACAAAGACTGACAACTAGTAAAAAGCATCACCCTTCAGTAAGTTAATGAAGTGCTTTTTGTTTTATTTAAATAAAACTAGTAGAACCTGTTCTGGAAATAACTATTCTGAACTTTGGAATGACAACAGGCTTCCACTCTTGAACCTCATACTAAACAAAGACATCAAAAGGAAGAAGACAAAATCTTCCAGGTTATTGTAGTGGTGTGAAATAAAACCACAAACCACCTCAATGCTTTCCTGGTGAAGGAAATACTTCAACTCAATGGGTAAGAGCTGCTGCTGAACTATTTCACGACAAGAAGGGGAAAGAAAGAGGCAAGAGCTGTAACTAAAACTAAAACTAAGTGGGAAATATTAAAAAAATGCCCTGAACCTACTTTAACAGATACAGAAAATCTGATGCAGCATGGCTTTCTTGTTCTTCATTAATTTCAAGTAATGCTTTCAAAATCTCTGATGAAAGAAAAATAAGACTTAACACAGACTGACAAATTTGGCTCAGATGTGATCATGGATTCTTAACCCTAATGCCTAACTGGTGCCCTATTTCATGTTCTGTAGAAAAAAAAAAATCTCTGGCCTCTTTTCACCATTCTAAAATTCTCTGAAACATTATTATGATAAATCCATATATATATTTATCTTCTCTTTGTGTAAATACATACTGTCATCCATGGTATTTTTGGTACTAGCTAGAGATTTCTATTATGGTTCAGTATCTTTATTCAGACAGGAAAAAGAACTGAATGTGAGACCTCTGTTCTTACTCAAAGGCCTGGAACAGGGAGTCCAGTTTCAGGACTGGTGGAGCAGTCCCACTGTTACAGCTTGGCACATTGGGTTAAAGGTCCCATCACAAGCTTCAGAAGCAATACCAATCAATGTCAGACACACCGAAATACCTTAGCCAAAACTACAGGGTTCAGTGGTCTTTCTCATACATAATTAAGCAAACAATCATCCAGCCGATCTGCAAAAAGTCTTTTAATTGGAACCCCCCCCCCCTTAATCTTTGTTAGCAATCACTTTGTCATATAAAATGTTTGCTATTGCTTAAGAGTGACAGAAGTGGAAAAATCCACTGGGACTTAGATGCAAAAAGCTGCCTGCTATTAATAATTTGAGATTTTTTACAACACGATCTGCATTTTTTAGAATTATTTTTCTTCTTTTAAAAGAGGCCAGCAATATGAGTTATCTGAAGATTGTGAAATTTCTTCAAAGATGGTAGCATCTTACAGCCACTATAGTTGTTTGCGTATTCTGTTTAACTGGCAGGATTCTTCCTGAAGTCTTCAGAAGTGAAAGGTTTTGCTTGTTTGGGTTTTGTTTTGGGTTTTGTTGATGTTGTTGTTGTTATTTTGGCGGTTTTGTAGTTTGTTTGTTTGTTGGTTTTTGGGCTTTGGGTTTTGTTTTTTCCTTCAATGAGATTCTGGATTTGAGTATCTCCATTTTTATCTAAAGGCACACTGGAGCAACAAAAGCTACAAGAACGGAGCAACTTCCCTGCAAGATCTGTAACCCTGGACTTTTGGAGAAGCTAAGGCATCTAAAAGCAATGGACACCCTTCAAAGGCATGTACATAATCAAATACATATCAAGTTGTGCTTACTTTGGAAATATTTTGTTCAACTAAGAATCCAAGTTAATGTCCAAATGCTGAAGTTATCCAACACAATTAAGACAGCATCAAGACTCATAAAAACATAGCTCGGTACATGAAGGACTAGTAACTCAAAATGCATCCCTTCTAACCCCCCAGGTGTTATGGGGTTATGGTACTACGGGCTATGGCTGTGCGGGGATTTGCCTGTCTGGAGCACAACGAGGTCCCAGAGTTTCACTGGCACAGATGTCCATGGACAAGAACAAACGCAGATGCCGCAAAGCAGGGTCACTGATAAGCAAGCGGCTGTGCTGATGCCCTGTGTGTCCCTGCCGCGCTACCTGAGGAGAGCACAGCGAAGGGCTCGCCACAGCTACAGGTCCCAAAGCCCCACGAGCTCAGGCTGCAGGGGCTGATCTTCCCCTAGTTTTTATCACACCCTCACAGCCTCTCTCAGCTCAGGGGGCACCCAGGCCGCTGCCACATCCCTCCTCCCGCCGCCCAGCCCTCAGGGAGCGGAGCAGCGGGAGGCCGGAGCAGCGGGAGGCCGGCACGGCCGCCCTCCATCTGCGCCCTGGCTCCCGCCGCCCGTCGAGCTAATGGCGGCAGGAAGCCTCCCCCCACCGGCCCTCCCCGTGACTCGCTTCCTCCGGCGGACGGAAACTGGGCGGAGTGAGCGGCCCCGGCCCCGCCAGCGGAGCCGTCCAGCCGTGCTCGGTGCCTGCGAAGTGCCGCGGCCACCCCCGCGGGGACGGACGGACGCAGCCGAGCCCCGCCGCCGGGGCGTGCCAGCGCCGCGCACCCCGCTCCTGCCAGGGCTCCGCCGCTCCGCAGCGCCAACATGCCCGCCGTCGACAAGCTCCTCCTGGAAGAGGCTCTGCAGGACAGCCCGCAGGTAGCGGCAGCTACCGGGACAGCCCGTCCGTCGGTCGGTCGGTCGGTGTGACGCACCTGAGCGCTCGGTGCCGGCGGGCAGCCCGCGGGTCTGGCGGGCCGGGTTGAGAGCGGGCGAGGGCCGGGGAGCAGCGTCCCGTGGCGGGGAGAGGGGTGCCGGGGCGGTGCGGGGGGACGGCGCGGCGGGCGGGGAAGTGGTCGGGGCGAGCTCGGTGGTCGCAGCCGTCGGGGAGCGGGGACGCGCTGAGGCGGGCGGGCGGCAGCCGGGCGGCCGCCGGGGGGGGGGGCGGACGGCAGCCGTGCGGCCGCCGGGGAGGTCTGGTGTCCCGCGGGGCGTTCGTCGGGGAAAAGCAGGCAGAGTCTGCTCCTCGGCGTGCCCCGGGACGGGGACAGTGCGCCCGTTCTCCTCAGCACCCTTAGTGAAACTGCTGGGGCTTTTTCCTCGCACCGTGCCGTCCGGGTGCGCGCTCGGTGGCTGTAAGGGTTGCCCTGAACAGCCGAGGTGTGTCGGGGAAGGGCAGGAGCGCCGGCTTCCCCCGAAGGGAAAGGGACACCTGTGCGCGGTGAGTCACCTGGCCCCGGTGACAGAATGGGCTGGAGGAGTGTCACCACCGGGGTGCCTGCTCCTCAAGGGCCGCAGCTCCTGTACAGGAGCTTCCATGAGGATAAGTGAGGCGGATGCCACCGAAGATGACCTCCTGTGGAGGGGTGTGAGGAGCGGGGAGAGGCGGTCGCTGCCCTTCCCGAGCGCGGGCAGGGGAGGATGTTGCTCCTTTCGGCCCCGTGCCCGCCGCCGGGAGCTGCCCCGGCTGCACGGGGGATCCCTGGCACTGTGGAAGCCCCACAGAGAAGAACATGCCATGTCTCCATGTGTTCAGGGGCTGGTTGAGCGGAAGAGAGAAGTAATAGGAAGGGGAGGGAATGGAAATTCCACTGAGAGATGCGGAAGGTGTGCTTGGGGACAAGGCATGGTGCAGAGTGAGATACAGAAGTGGTTGGTGAAGCAGGGAATAAACAAATGAGGGCAGGGTGGATCACTATGGGTGCAGCTCCCAGGTAACCCTGTGTTGTAATCCTAACTCGTCTGCTGATGGATCAGGAGGAGGAATGAATAGGTGAGCAGTAGAGGAGATTACTGCAAGGTGTTACAGAGTCTGTCATGAGATGTTTTGAAGGAAAGTCTGTAAATGCACCTGTCAGGACGTAATGAGCCTTGGGTCTTATCTTAATTGCCTCATTTTATCCTGTTTTTTTGTAATTTCATGAAATCCCATTCTAGTAAGAAGGATTTCCCTCATCTCTTTGATGTGGCGCATTTGCAATCATCCTTAGGAATTTTAAGCTCTGGGCTGGAAGAAGTGTTCAGTAATGTGATGTTACACCAAAGTCAGCTCTGCTTGGAGCAGGTTTGGACAAGGTGACCTGCAGAGTTCCTTACCAGCCTGACCTTTTTTGTGTTCCACAGTTTACCAGAACGTACTAGATTCATTACGGGTAGTTAGTAATGTTTTTAGTGTTAAAATACCCACTGCCTCCTAAAGCTGAAGAAATTGACATGCAGGAGAAGTGAACTAATTTACCTCTTCAGTCAACACTTCTCTCAATGATTAAAAATGCAGCGCTGACTGAAAGCAGCTGAACAATGCACTGAACTGAATTTGGAGGTAGTTGTCTTTCTTGTGTCCTGAAATGAAGTCTGTCAAGGTGTCCTTTGCAATCACTGAAATACCAGGCAGTGCATAAACCTGAGTATTGCCAGGATGTTTTACCCTGATTTGGACATTGCTTTTTCTTCAAGCTCTACAGCTTTCAGAGGGAGGGACGTTGTTTAATTTTTATAATGGCCCGGTGTTGCTGAAATATATTATTTTTATGCAAGGAAGCAGGAGTGGGCTTTTTCAGTCTTTTATATTTTTATTACTTTTTTCCCTGGGGAGAGCTTTAGATTCACAAAATCAAAGCAAAAAGTTAGTCTCTGTTCCACAGAAATAAGCAGCAAAGGATCAGTTACTTCTGCAAGAAGGAGCATTATTCTCTCCTGCTCTGTGCAGTCACAGGAGTGCAAAGGGATGGTGAAATGAGGATGTAACCTCACTTTGTATAATCTGTGGGAAGTATGTGATTTACATGCAAGACCGAGGAGAATTAGGCCAAAGTTATTTCTTCATCAGGTTTCTGGAACTTGATTTATCTCTCCCCATCAGTACAGTACTTTTATCTTGATTTGTCTCCAGACAGTAGCTGAAAGAGGCCATAAGAAGTGTCTTAATTTTGACTACAAATTAAAGAAAAATTTGGCTACAAAATAGAGAAAAATTTATTTCAGCAGTCATGCTAAAATCAAGGGAAGTACTTACATGAAACTAGAAAATTGTTTCCTATCCTTCCAGAAGCTGAGATAATGTTGTGAATAATGGAGCCTCCTAAATGTTAGCTTAGTATTTGGATTACTAGTTTATTTCGGCAGAATTAGCTGCTATTCCAAAATTTGTCAAAACAGCACCAAAAAAAAGACATACATGTTGGTATTTTGTTACAGTGATTTCATATGGTGTTAAATGTAAAAGTTTCCAAGAATAACTTCCAAACTGTCTGAATAATTTATTGGTTTTATTATTTTTGAACAGTGTGCTAATAACAGAGGCCAAGACTTTCACAAGTTGGTTCCCGGAGCTGTTCTGCTTCAAACCATATTTAGACAAATGAAAAATCTGAGTCTGCAAAAATTCAGTAAAATTTACAAATGCAGCTTTCCCCTCTATTGGGGAACCTTTTCCAGCAGGCAGAAGTGTGTGATTTGTAGCCTACTTCAGGCAATTTCTTTATAACCTTTGAGATTTGGCTTGATAAACATTGTGTCAAGTTTTATAATTTTTTTCCCCAGATTTATTTTTTAACTATCTTTGTACCCTGTGCTTTTCGTGTGCCATTGTAACGCAAAACAGGTGCCATTGTAACACAAATTGAGCACTGCATAGATGTAAAATAGTTTGTTGACATTATTTTGCTTTATATTGTTGGAGATAAAACATTTGAAACCAGATATTTTTGAAAATCAGTATGTTTGCAGTTACTGAAATGATATGTTAATGTGGAAAACTCAAAATCATGCCACTGTCCTTACAGGGAAATCTGTACAAAGGTGCTTTAAACATTTGGGATCCTGGTATCAATTTCGTTGACTTGGACTTCTCTCCATTCTCTGGTTTTTATGTTCACCTTATTTGAGAATAATACTTTGTAATGCATATTCACTTACATGCTAGGATCTCAAACTAGCTTCCCAAACTGCCAGCATCTCTCAGGTAGGAGGTGTTGTAGCAGCTCAGCACATCAGCCAAGGGAACTGTTGAAAGCTTTTGAAGGTACTCAGAGGAGGAAGGTTCTGAAGAAAATCCAAAGACTGACTCCCAGGTCATGTATTTTAACCACTGAGCAGCACTAGTTTCTGGCTTGGATACTTCTCAGCAGAGATGAAATGATAATTAATCATAGGCCAGGATTTCTTGAAGGATGCTGGTGTTATGTTTTCCAGAACAAAGAAAGTCTGGGCAGAGAGTTTTGCAGAGAAGAAAAAATGCCTTGGAAAAATGCATGTGCCTTCTGTTAAAATAGTGGAGTATCTTAAAACTTTGAAAATAAATTTCCCAAATTCAAATCTGGATACTTCAGGTACATTAGAGATTCCTGTAAGAGGGGGATAAATAAAGGCCTTGCTCTTTTACAGGACTGACATGTCTATGAAAGTACTGGAGTTTATGTATGCCACTCATGTCAGCAGATGAAGCTCATTAATGTCATATGAGTTAGCTGTACAGATGGAGAGACATTTCCAGTTAGCCTCAAATAGATTGGATTTATCAAAGCTAAGACTAAGTATGGATCATGAGTTTGTTAAAGGGACAGTCTTTCCTCTTTAATTATTGTAAACATCTAGCAAATTCTGGAGCCCAGCATTATTTTGAAGTATCGTTTTTATCCCATCTCAGGAGCTGTGTCAGCAACATAATTCTTTATTCCTGACAATTCCGCCTGAAGAAACCAAGGGAATTTATTTGTGTCTTTAAGATAACACAAGTTCTTCCTTCCCCTTCCTGCTTGCTGGCTAGGATGAGTTAGCAGAGTGAAGAAAGTGCAGGGTATCTCTGAGTGGGTGTATCCTTGTGTGCCTCTTGGAGATGAACGCTCAGTTGTTTGGTCCAGTGACATCAGCTTGCTTTGGCCAGGGCCCCTTAAGAGTTGCTCAAGACAGTGGGGAGTGAATAACAGAGTGTAAATTATCTCAGTGGAAAGAGGTGCTTTCAATGCAGTCTGACACTGGAGAAGTAAAGTGAGCAAGCAGTGGTGTTTGACCCCCAGTCCTTAACATGGTTTGAATTACTGTCGTCAGCAGGAAGATATTCAGGATTTTTTACATTCCTAATTATGTTGGAAGGACTGTCTATTAGTAGGAGCAAGAGCCTGGGAGCTGGGATGTGGCTGTAGCATTTTATTAGTTTACATCCTTGTGCCTCAATTTACTATCCATAATAAAAGAACCTATTTCCACATGTTTAGAGATTCTGAATAAACAGAATCGTGCAAGTCAAGGGCATATTATTTCTGATTGCTTTTTACTACCATCTCTTTGTAGTTGTTTGATTGTTTTTGATATTTCTACTTAGGACTGAAAACTTTGCTTTTTTTCTTTTATTGAAGACTCGTTCTTTGCTCAGTGTCTTTGAAGAAGATGCAGGAACCCTTACAGAATATACAAACCAGTTGCTTCAGGCAATGCAACGAGTCTACGGTGCACAGGTAATTTTTTATTTGTATTTCTTTTGTTCAATGTGGATTAGAAGATAAATTGCTGTTATGGTGCTGTTATTTACATTAGAGTTACTAAGTACATGTTCTTTCTGTGGTTTAAGAGGAGTTGTGGGTGTTTTTCATCTGATAGCTCAACCTCTTCCTGCCTTGATGCTCAGAAAAGTAGTAGTTATTAAAAAGAAAAGTTATTTACTTTGTCTGCAAACAGTTAATCAGAGTAAAACTGTGCTGTGTCCTCACCTTATGGTACATTGGGAGACCAGCCTTGACAAAACCTCTGATAGCTCAACCTCTTCCTGCCTGATGCTCAGAAAAGTGGTAGTCATTAAAAAAAAAAGTTATTTACTTTGTTTGCAACCAATTAATCAGAGTAAAACTGTGCTGTGTCCTCACCTTATGGTACATTGGGAGGCCAGCCTTGACAAAATTGCTTGCCAAATGCAGACACGATTCCCAGGTCTGCACACTGACTTTAGGCACCTGACTTTGATGCTGTGACTCACCTCATGGAGGGAACTGCCCATGTCCATTGATTACAGAGCAGATGTGCACTTTGGTTCATACTAAAGTTAAGTGCCTAGAGTAGTTGTGAAAAAAAATGAGCAGGAGCAGAAAAAATAACATTTTCTAGAGTGTTTACGTGACCTAGATGACTAAATCCCTTTGAAGGTAAAATCTGTAAGAGAAATTATATCCAGTGCTTTGGAAAATGTAAATCTGAGTGATTTTCAGTGAAGCTGATTCCCATGTGCATAAAATTAGGTGTTTCAAAATGCCATATCTGGGTCTTTAAAGACATACACGATGTCTCATGGAAGTTTTGCAAATAGTTATGTAGGTTAAATTCCTGAGTTCACTAGAAACAACTTTTCTATTCTTAAACCAGTAAATCAGAGCCCACAGAGAGGTTAAGAGCTCAGGGGTATTTTGAATTTCCCTGGAGAGTGCCTGATCCCTACATTATTAGAAATCAGTTCAGCTGTAAGTCTTGCTATAAACAAGTATGCGTCCATGTGGTGGGATTGCTCTTTGGGTGACTGATAGTTTGACATGGAAGAACCATTTGCCCAGGATCTGGCTGCCTACATCTGGAAGATCCAGCTTTGGAGAGCTTCAAAGTCTTCACGTCTTGGATGTTGTGCAAATGAAGAGCAGCCAGAGGTTTGCAGCACAGCTTAGGTACATAGGAAATGATGCAGGGCATGGCCGAGGGCTTGAGAGATGGCATGAAATCAACACTGAAAGTCAGGGATAGGCATTTTGGCAGAGTCACTGTGCTTTAAGAGTAACAAAGAGTGTGGGCACCTTGTGTGGTAGGAATCTGACAGCAAAGACTGGATAGGATTGAAAAGGATGAAGAAGGGAATCAGGAGATAAATCTGATTTTTAATGTCCAGCTTGAGGGCTGCATGTCCCTTTCCGCTGCTGCTGACCTTTTAGGATGGGATTTTAGGAAGTGGTTGCTCTATGTGATTCAAGAAAAAGCACTGTTTTTGCTTTTCTTTGCCTCTTCCTTTTCATCTTGGTTTTTAGACTTCTCCATTTCTGTTTCGCCACAATTACATTTCCTTTTTCTTCTCATTGTCTCAGTACATTTACCCATCACTGTTTTGCAGTCCTACTGAGTCTACTTCATTTTTCCAGCACTTTTTCTCCACTTGTGTCCTGAACACTACTTTAGTTTGATGTAAATGTTCAGTAGCTTGTGAATATTTGATATATTCTTTAAAGTAGGTCTTTGGAGTTTGAAGCAGTTTTGAGATGTAGAACTAGAAGGGTAATACTGAATTGCCTACTAAACATAAAGTTAGTTATGGACAGTTAAGAAAAATATGTGTGGTATTTCTTGGCTGCCTAATCACTGTTTGGGAGAAAAAGCACTTTTGTTGATGTGTTATCTGGGCCTCAATAGCAGCATATTAGGAGGTGTTACCAATCCTGTTAAAGCTGAGAGTATTGAGAAGCCGAGTCCAAATTTGCCTGTTTATTTTCATGACTTCAATTTTGTCTCTGCAAAGTCAAATTTTCTTTTTGCAAAGTCATTGTCATCTCCTCCTCTGATTTCTGTGTCTGTAAGATAGGAATTACAGTTACTGACCTACTTTAAAGCAATGGCCATAAAATAACTGGGATCACAGTCAAGGCAGCCAGACAAAGCATCAGTGGGTTGTACTAGTCTCCAGTACTGAAAATTAAGGGTTTATGCCCCCTGAAAACACTTACAAAAGTTTAAAAAATGTTAATTTTGTTTTCTTCCATAATTTTTCTGAACTTTAACATTTCCCAGATGACTTAACCATGTTTTCAAGACTTTTTTTTTTGGCTAGCTTGCTAGAAATTTCGTGTTTCTTGTGATGAAAACTCAGATTTTTGTGTAATTCAAACCACTGTAGCTTGTGATCAAATAACAATAGTTAAAGGTTCTGAAGAGATTCAGTGCAGAGTCTCAGGGGAGTAGCAATTAGTACCAACTGCATGCTGTTAATTAACTGTGTGGATATATTCATATAGCTGTCTATAGCTGTGCCAAAACACTGCTCTGTGTGGAGCACCACACTAAATTTGTTAAGTGACAGCTTAAACTGCTTTAAGCACTTGGATCAGTGCATTTGAAAGGAGTGTGAAAAAGAAATACTTGCCCATATTTTTAAAAAACATTTAGGCAAATAGGAATCCTTTTAAGCATCTTTTCAGATTTACATGTGTTTGAGCAGGACTTTAAAAAGAGAGTAAGGAGGGATGTGCAGCATCCTGTGCAGCAGTGGCTCTGCTGCCTGGGCTGCAGCTGGGAGATGCATGGGTAGCAGATTGCCTTGGCTGCAAGGCTGTCAGTGCTTTACAAACCTCTGGTTGCCCTGCAGGATGAGGACAGTGTTCTCACCTCCTTGGACACCCACACCACATGGGATCAGGTGGTGACTCTTTAGTCTCTTTAGTGCAAAAGAGGCTGTGATGCTTCAAGGCAGATGCAGCGTGCGATGCCCTGATTAAGGAGAAGTCACAGGACCCGAAAGTGGCACTGGAGGAGTGAGGTTGCCCTGATGCCCTGATTAAGGAGAAGTCACAGAACCCAAAAGTGGCACTGGAGGAGTGAGGTTGCCCTGATGCCCTGATTAAGGACAAGTTACAGAACCCAAAAGTAGCACTGGAGGAGTGAGGCTTGGTTGATCTGGCAAACCAATGTGATTAAAGCACAGTGAAGCACAGTGAAGCATTTTTATATTCATCAAATAAACCACACCCGTGTGAGTACACATTATACTTCCTGCTGTAGATCTCCCAGCTGTGCTGTAGTACCCTGGAATAGTACCACAGCAGTGGTCTTATACAGGAGATCTTCCTTACAGAGTTTATTCTTGTAGCACTTCCTTCTTGTGTGCAAGCCCTGGTGTTGTATCTGGCATTACTGCTGATTTCTGTGAATGTTGTGTTTGTCAGGCTGGATGTTTTATTACCTGAGCAATATTATAATGCAGCAGCAAGCAACAACTGTTAGAAAATTTATTTTGCTTAATTTACAATGCTGAGGCTCTTGCAATAATGAATGAGCAAAATGTGCCCATTCCTGACCACTGTTTACCTTCCTGACCACTGTCATAGGAAATTGTTTTCAAAGCTTTGCTGTCATTTCCAGTTCTTCATCATGCTCTAGAAGTGGCTGAGCCGGGAATCTTCACTTGAAGCAAAATGCCTTTAGGAAACTCTTAGGAGACTCTTGTGTCTCTGCCGACTGTTAGAAGGGATGAACAGTTGCGCAGATCAGAGGAGAGTAAGATGCAGTATTTTGTAAAGTAAAGATATTTCATCTCATGAGTCCTGACAAACCTGTCTAGATAGAGGGGCAGTGATGTCAAAAGAGGAGTAGAAAGAAGCACTTGTTGTCTTTATCAATATATCTGGAGAGAGAACAGCATTGGAATTGTGAAGTATGATCTTGTTCAGCATCTCCCTCTCTGTGAGCATTTCTCTTGTGATTTCAGAGGCACACAGGCAAAGCAGCTACAGCCACCATGGCTCACTGCCTTTTTACATCCAGACTCTTAGAGAACCTTTTGACAGTTACGGAATAGTCTTGGTTTATAGGTACATTACATGGGTGTCAGGACAGCTTGAATCTGTCAAGCTATTTTTTAAGTAGTACAAGTGTTACTTCTCTGCAAATTCACGATTCCTCATGTCTGTATTTTTCAGCAGTGCTGCTTGTTTGATTTTCCTGTGTATTGCCTTCAGGAGGCTGTAACTCAGTAGTTGGGTGTCAGGCTCTTTAGGTTATGCATGGACTTTCATATTTATTATGTTGCATAGCTAACCCCAAGTGCTGAGAGTTCTTGCTTATTTAGCAAGCAAGCACTGATACACTTTTTCTTTTAATTGTTTTCATGTCTAAGGGAGCAATTGTATTGGCTTTTCAAATTATAAGAACATTTTTTCCCTAAAACATTTTGATGGAATAAAAATTAATTTACCATTTTATAAACTTCTAACTCAACATAGAGAAGTTTCAGCAGAGTGTTAGAATGGGAGAAACATTTGCAATAAACTACAATTGTCATCACTGACTTCTGTGAAATACTGTGTGTATTATTATTCCATACTTGCAAGTTTGCACCTTACCTTCTTGAGGCTTATTCACCATATATTGCTGACAGAGATAAGCAGAAGATTACCACATGAGAACTAATGTATCTATAAAGGCACGGGAGAGTTTTCACTGTGCCTGGAAACAGGTTAACATTGTGCTAAGGAGGATCTGGGAATCTGAGGCACCATAAATGTATGAATACCCTGCTGATAGTAATTGTTTTGACAGAAGAGATTCTTTCTGTACCATCCTGTTGTAGCTGCTGTTGGTGTTTTTCAGCAGAGCTTTGACTGGTGGCTTCTATTCCTTGAGGCTATTGGATGATCCTTTGCTGAGCTGTTCCCATTTGTTAGGATGGGATGCCATGCTGTGAATCAGCACCAGGGCAAGCCATGTTAGCCTGATC